GGACTGCACTGGACTGGACTGGACTAAATTGATATGGACTGGACTGGACAATCCTGGACTCGACTAGATTGGACTGGATTGTACTGGACTGGATTGGACTGCACTCGACTGGGATGTACTGGCCGGGACCGGAATGTACTGGACTGGACTGGAGTGTACAGGATTGTATTGGACTGGACTGGACAGGACTGGACTGGAGTGGACTTGACTTAACTGGACTGGACTGGATTGGACTGGACTGTAATGGAGTGGACTTAACTTTACTAAACTGCACTGGACTGGACTGGACTGGACTGGACTGGACTGGACTGGACGGGACTGGACTTGACTGGACTGGACTGGAAAGAACTGGACTGGCCTGGACTGGACTGGACTGGACTGGACTGGACTGGAGTGGACTTGACTGTACCAAACTGCAGTGGACTGGATTGGACTGGACTGTACTGAACTGGTGTGAAATGGACTGCTATGGGTGGACTGGACTGGACTGGACCGGACTGGAATGGACTGGTAGGTATTGACTGGACTGGCCAGGACCGGACTGGACTGGACTGAGTTGGACTCTACTGGATTAGACTGGACTGGAATGGATTGGACTTGGCTGGACTGCACTGGAATGGAATGGACAGAACTGAAATGGACTGGACTGGAATGGTTTGGACTGAGCTGGACCGGACTGGAATGGACTAGAATGGACTGGACTGGACTGGACTGGACTGGAATAGACTGGACTGGACTGGCCGGGACCGGACTGGACTGGACTGGGCTGTACTGGAGCGGATTGGACTGGAATGGACTGGTGTGGTCCGGACTGGACTTGACTGGACTGAACTGGACTTGACTGGACTGCAGTGGACTGGACTGTACTAAATTGCAATGGACTGGACTGGACAATCCTGGACTCGACTAGACTGAACTGGAGTGTACTGGACTGGATTGGACTGTACTCGACTGGACTGGACTGGCCGGGACCGGAATGGACTTGACTGGACTGGAGTGTACGGGATTGGACTGGACCGGAATGGACTGGACTAGACTGGACTGGACTGGACTGGAGTGGACTTGACTAGACTGGACTGGACTGGATTGGACTGGACTGTACTGGAGTGGACTTAACTTTACTAAAATGCACTGGCCTGGACTGTACTGAACTGGCGTGAACTGTGCTGCTATGCAGTGGACTGGACTGTACTGGACCGGACTGGAATGGACCGGTATATAGTGACTGGACTGGCCAGGACCGGACTGGACTGGACTGGGTTGGACTCTACTGGATTAGACTGGACTGAACTGGACTGCATTGGACTGGCCTGGACTGGTCTGGACTGGCCTGGACTGTACGGGATTCCGCTCGACTGGACTGGACTGGACTGGACTGGACTGGACTGGACTGGACAGGAGTGGACTACACTGGACTGGACTGGACTGGACTGGACTGGACTGGACTGGACTGGATTGCAATGGACTGCACTGGATTGGACTGGAATGGACTGGACTGGACTGGACTGGACTGGACTGGACTGGACTGGGCTGGACTGGACTGGCCTGGAATGGGTTGGACAGTAGTGGATTAGACTGGACTGGACTGGATTGGACTTGGCTGGACTGCACTGGACTGGACTGGACAAAACTGAAATGGACTGGACTGG